GTGTCTTTAAGCCGAACTTCCTCATCATGGAGCACACCTCCCCACCCCCACCCATGACTCCTGCAGGCTCTTGGCAGTAACAAAGCAAACAAGGAGTGAAACTGAAAGTGAAACTGAAACTGTCTAGTGAGCTCTCAACACTACTTCTCACTTAGTGAAGCTCTTTTCAGATTCAAAATGCCTTTGAGGAAATGTATTTTCAGATGCCAAGTAAACTGCATCATAGCATGCACACAACATAGAGAATACCCCCCCCCCACACACACACACACACACACACTCCTCCTTTATTTTCCTACAAGCAGCCTGAGGTTTTATTGACCCGGTCTAATAGACATAGAGATGCACCCATATAGCGAGGTCTCGTCCAACAAGAGAAACCACTCGGCATGGAGCCAAAACATCTGTGAGCAGATGAACACRCGTTTGTTCTTCTATTCTCATGGGGACTTTGCATTGACTTCCATTCATTTACCAACCAGTTCTACAGCCTAACCCCGACCCCTTACCCTAAACCTAACCTAAACCAAATGCACGCTTTAGTCCTAAACCCATCCCCTGATGTGGACCGGGCCTTTAGGGGATCCTCACCAGGAAGTCAAAAATCAACCACCAGGTAGCAACATGTACACATATAGATAAATGTTTCTATAGATTAAAAGTAAAAACTAAATATAAATCTATGGAACATCCTATTTCTGCTTAAAACTCTCTTTTTTTCTTTTGTCTTTTGATATTTTATCACTTTTTATTGTATTTTAACATTTGTGTTTGACTAAATTCAGTTATTATGTGCTATTGTGGACGTACCGTGACGTATTTATTTCCAATAATTTCCCACMCAGGTAGTTTTCTCTTTTTGCATGGCCCACAGTAAGAACGTTTAATTTTCACTATTAGGTCCAGTTTTTATCCTTTTACTTTGAATTCACTGGTTTGAATTCAGAAACCTTTCATTTGACAGTTTTGTTTATTTTTCATCAAACTATTTTTCCACCTTCATGATCGTCTTTGTAGCATATTTTCCGACTGTTTGTTTTCTCCACAAAAAATAAACTTTTACTTATTTCTTCATAACATTTGTTGACAATTATTCATTATGAAAGTGTCATAATAGTTTTTAAGGTCATTTCTGTAGCCTATAGTCTGTAAAATCACACAGTWACATCATATTTCTTGTTTTATAGCCACATTTGCTGCTGTTACATGCCTTWTTTGCCTCTTTGAATATCCCGAAAGTCCTATCTCAGAAGAGCACAAGTGATTGGGTTCCATAAATAGGCTGAGCTGTTGTGTAGAGAAGGAATGTGGAGCAACTTGTCTAAAAAAGAAAAAAAAGAATGTAGTCTTGTAGCTTCAGTGGGATATTAGGCCGCAAAGCCTTTACGGTAAAGGTTAACAGGAGGTGAGATTATGTGAGGTGTAGAGTGACAAACATCTGCACGTTCTGAGCAAATACTTCTGTATTTTGGCTTTAAAATAAATTTCTTCCCATAAAATATGAAGTTAAAGTTGTTTTTGTGAAGCTGTCACCTTCTTCTGTCAATATAATCCTCAAACACATCCTATTTGTTTCAACATGTGGTTTAATGGTGACTAAGCATGAATTACAGAGGATTCTTAGACTCAATTTTGCTTTTTTAAAGCAAATATTTTCAGCAATGCAGAGCCGAGCAGGACATGTGGGTCACATACAACACAGATCCCTTACCTGTCCCTCCATGGTCTCAAATCTGCTCTGATCTCAGGTGAATTCAGAGGTTTCAGATCTACAGGATGCAGAGATGCAGAGAGGAGGAGGAAGGAGCTTCAGGTGGGGACAGCTGCAGACCCAAACCTGCGTCCAGAAGAGGCTCCGCGTCCTTTATTCCCACCCAAACATCAACAGTCAGGGCTCATTTGGGCTCATTTAGAGGAAGGAAAAAAATCGGACCAAGAAGGCTTGTARAAAAATATAATAATAAAAGAAAAGGAGGCAGCTCGGTTCTCAGTCTGGTCAGTGGGAGTCACCTGTCGTGACTAGAAACCCAAGTCCGGTGCTGACGCCCCCTCAGCTGCAGCACTGCCTAGATCATGGGGGGCTGCGAGGAAGACCGCACGTAAAGATACCGCACGTATCATGACTTGCTGCCCATCAGCCAATGAGGAGCTCTGCGCTGGGGTGTTGTGATGCGGCCCCGCCCCCCGCTGCTGTTGCGTACAGAAACCCAGGCCTGCTGTGCGCCACATCCAGCGAGGCCTCCTTATGTTTGCAGCCTTTATTCGGTTACTCGGTCATATGGACGAGCGCATGCGCGGAGGGGGGGGGGGTGATGTGTCCGTGTAAGTGAGTGGGGGATGGGGCGGGTCACGATGGGTCTCTGCATGTTTGTAACCCCCCATCCCCCCCGGCCACGCCCCCATTTTCTCCTGACTTCCTCTCTCGTGTCCTTCCTCCGGCTCGACCTTGGCTGATGCTGATGCAAAGCAGGCCCGTTTCTGAGGCAACGGGTCACGTGATGCAGGACAGAAAGATGCTGCAGCCGTAAAAGTTGGAGCTTTTTTGAAGCTTTGCGCTGCATTTACAGCCGATCATAGGATGAGAGCTGCAGAAGGAGGCCCATTTAACCGTGACCCACAAAGCAGAGCAGATGTGAACAGCTGCAGCAGGCTCGTGACGTGAAAAAAAAATCAGCTGACTGCGTGAAAGGAAGCGCTGCCTCTGCAAGTACATCAGTTTTTTCAAAGCAGATTAAATAAAAACAATAACTGTTTTCTGTGACGGGAAATGTTTTATAATCTCTAATCTCATTCAGAGCTCGTGTGTGGAGCTCAAACTGATGAAGAAACTGCATCACAACAAAATACATGAAGCAACATTTACTGTTTGATTTGATCAGTGTTTTAATAAATCTTACGTGTTTAATGYATTGGAGTCGTGTTTATTTAAATAAACTTAATGTGACTTTAGTKGCATTAAATCCTTTCTTGGTTCAGAGTCAGTTAGAATAAATCTAATGAAGCAAAATGACATTTGCAGAGATTTGTCACATTTAATAATTTAAAATTCATCACAAAAACGCTTTTGTTTAGAGTTTCTCAAAATATCACAATGTCAAATACTACAAACTTTAAATCGACACAAAAATAATATTTTATTAAAACTACATATAAAGATGCTCCATAATTTGTATTTGGTCCATTTATTTTGTTTTCATACTTTATTTCCTTTTAAACTTTGAGATAATTTAATTTCAGTTTTATGATTTGCTCCTTACAAGAGGAGTACAAAATAATTTTATGCATATTCACTAATATCACAAACAGGTTTTACTTTGTAATCATTCATGACTAAAACTCTTCTTTCAGGTTTGCATATCAAGCGTGTTTGTTTACTTCTTTGGCCTTACTAATCAACATGTGTTTATTTGATAGAATTT